ACCCCCGCCCCCCAGGTCCGCGGTCCTCCCGGCAGCCTGCGCCCCTCGCGACCTGCCCCTCTCCCTACGCGCGTGGCACCCCCGGCCGGGCTTCTGCCCCAGCTCGCCGGGCGCCGCAGGCGATGCTGGCGCAGGAGGCAAGGCGTCCGCCCGGGGTCCACGCCGCCAGCCTGCCTCGCTGAGGACGCCCCCGAGGCCGTGGCGCAGGGAGCACGGCGTGGGCCTCGGATCCCCGACGGCGGGGTGGGTCGCCAGCTGTTGGGACGCGCCCTGGGGACCCGGGACCCCGTCCTGGTCCTGCTGGGACTCGGGAGGGAAGGACCCCCACCTCGGCGTCTGGACTGAGCGGTGCGGAATCCGCTGAGTCCCGGGATCCGTTCTGCTGGCCCGGCCCGGGCGAAGCGCGCCGTTGTGGCCCGCACGTGACCGCCTCCAGCGAGATGGCACGAGCTGGGCACTCGCCACTCCGCTGGTCCCGGAACTGCAGCTCACGTCCTGAGACCCAGAAAGGCATCCTGGTGTCCTTGCCTGCCCAGTCCCACCCGGTCCCCAGGTCCGGACCTCGGGAGGCGCCGGGTCGATTAGTTTTCCTGCAGCGAAGGGGGCAGAGGATGAGCTAAGCTATCGGGCGGGAGATCCCCGGGAGGACCAGACGCTCCAAAGTGGCCGCGAATTAGCTGTGCACCTGCAGTTACGTTGCACAACTCGTCCCTTCTTCCACAAGCACAGGTGTCGACGGGACACACACACCTGCTCCAGAAAGTTCTCTCAGAAGGGCATCCCAGAGCCAGTGGTACCCAGGACTGGCGGACCACGCTCCCCGGCCCAAGAAGGAAATCTCGGGTCAGGGTGCTGATGGCGCCTGTGTTTGAGGAAGGAGGAGGTGGCATCCCCATAGAGAATGTCTTGGGGTGCTCACACTTGTCACCTTTCACTGATTTTAGTCGCCTTGGGAAATATCCACTTTACAAACTCCAGATTTTTTTTCTTTTTCTTTTTTTTTTTTTTTTTGTAGGCAACACTAAAAAGACAATGTAACAAAAAAGAATAAAGTATCCAATTATTGCTGCACAATTTGACTTTCCAAGCATAAAATTTTCATAAATATGTACATGCAAGCACGGTTTCTTTTGTTTGCTACTTTCCCTAACGTTTCTGTTCACATGATCATTTTTTTAAGGTGTACAGGTATACGTAATCATACACACACACACACACACACACACACACACACTTGTGGTGTATTTATTTGGTTGCACTTTGCTATTATATCATTGAGTTCTGTACGTGGGATGAACTTCTTTCTGGCAGTGGAAAAGCTTCCAGGCAGAAGACTATGAATGACCGAGTGATTTGCCCTTTGTTGCCCATATCGCTTTGCCAAGGAGTTGCCCCAATTATTCTGTCACCTCCAAGGAACAAGCACAAAGAATGTAATGCACGTGTCTAAGCTCTGAGTGCCATCTTTTCTCTACACTAAAAATGCCTATTGAGAGTTCAAGGTTACCTTGCTTAGCATCTTGGATGATTCAGCATTGGAAAATGAGTGTTCCCCCATCCTTTGCTGCCTGGATTTCCTCCTGTGAATGATCTGTCCACATCCATTCTTCTGGTGAGGAATTGAATTTCTAACTTTGAACCAGCTTTTTTAACATATTGTCGTGCACATATTTTCCAGCCTGATCTTTTGTTTTTCTTTACAGTTTGTCATTCTGGTCCTCTGTGAATTTCCCCTACCCATTAGTCCAATGCCAGAGAAGTGTCCTGCACCCATCTGATATTTTGTACAATTTCATTGCATATTTATTATTTGATAATTATCTGCCCAATCTTATTTTGCTTTATTTTAGAGTAAAATGTAGATTTAACTCATTGCCTCTGTCTCCAGTGCCTATTGTTTATGCAGTCACCATTTGTTAAAAAAAAAATCTTCCCTTGTTCTTTGCTTAACAAAACTTACTTGTATGCTGTGCTTTCGATTTGGGCTGGTATATTTCTGAATCTTCCATTTCTTTCCATAGACCTTGCTTTAGACAAATACCATATGGTTATAAATATTGGTTGTTTGGAATAGGTTCTCACATGTGACAAGGATCAATTCCTACCTGAGGACTTCTTTTATTAAATAAGACTACCACTGGCTTGTGTAACCATACACATTCCAGGATAATCATATAAGCGTTACCAGCACTAGCTTTGAGTATGGACCACCCAAGTTCAACAGTGACCAGCCCTGTAGCCTTGGCAAGGTACTCATCTATTCAGGCCTTACAGTCTTGGTCTATAAAACAAGCCCAATCCCAGGAACATAATAAATACTTAATATTGGCTATTGTTGTTAATTACATTTTGGTTTCCAGAGAAATATATGTTGGGAAATGTCATAAGAAAACACATTTGTGTATGCTAACCACACAAAAAAATTAGTAGTAGTAGTGAGGTTGGAGCTGGGAACAGTGGTGCCTGCCTGTAATCCCAGCACCGAAGAGGCCACAGAAGGAGAGTCATGAGTTCCAGACCAGCCTGAACTGCATAGCAAGACCCTATCAAAAAAATAAAAATAAATACTGAAATTGGCATGGAGCTACATTAATCTAGGAACTATTTTAAACAGATCTCAACCAAGACATGTGCTATCTTTCAACTTACTCAGATATAAAACTCTCAGAAGCCAAGTCCCTTGTTGCCCCCAGCCTTTCTCCACTGTTCACCTCATGACCCCTAATGAAGAGGATGGGCAGAGAGTCACAAGGAACTGCTGAAAACTACCATTTGAATGCCTGTGTTGTGTTGTGCCTGTGTGGGTGTCCATGTGGGTGTGCACCCCTTGCAACCTCCCTCAGGCTAGGGCATGCATTCCCTGTGAACAAAGAATAAGCTAGGCTATAAGCAGGGCTGCCAGCTCCTCAACGTTTTATTTTTAAGTCATATATAGTGGGGCAGGTATTGGTTGAGTGCCTTGGCACCTGTGTGGAGATCAGAGGACAATTTGTGGGAGTTTGTTCTCTTCTTCCACGATGTGGATTCCAAGGATTGAACTCGGGCCATCAGGCTTGGTGGCACTGAGCTGTCTCTCATCATCCCCAGCTCCTGAACCTTCTGCAGTTAGGAAATTTGGATTTGGGGTGTTTGACAGAAGAGGGACATGGAGCTCTATGAGACTGGCCCTGCTCCTTCCACTATGTCCCACTCACCTGGTCTGCTATGTTTCCATTCCTTAAGCTTGCTACAGCTCTTTCCACCACAAGGCCCTGGCACACTCCATCCTGCCTCCTGTACCCACCTGCACATAGCTGCCACCCTCTCATAGGTCCTTGACTTCCCCATCTAAATATGTAAGCATGTGAGTCCTCCTCTCCTTCCCCTTCTCCCCCTCCCTCCTTTTTTCTCTGTCCCCTGCTTCTTTGTCCATTCCTTTCTCTACTTGTTCCTTTTATAATTTATACTGCATTTGTCATTTGCCTCTGTCCCCCTCTCTATACCCTCATGAAGACAGCAGTCCCCCTGAGGTCACAGCCATGCCTGAATCATCATCATTGAGCCTGACCACAAGAGGCAATGATAGACAAGAGGATGACTAACAGGTCATGTCAGGGGGCATCACTGAAGAAGACCAGAGGCCAGCACACCTGAGGCACCCTGAGCATTCTCAACTTAGTCTCCACTCCTCCTTGGCTCTGTGAGGTGAACTGTAACACCATGTCCTCATTGACCTAAGGGATCTAAGTCTTTTTATACACCATACAAACCCCTCTCCCCAAAGCCAAGTATGCTCTCAGGTGGTAGATACCAACTTGGAGCTTTGTGCTGACCATGTGAGGTCTGGACCCTGGAGACTGAAAGCATCATTGACCAGACCATCAGGTTCTTTCCAATCCAAGGACATAAGTTCCTTGAGTCTGCTAGGATCTGTCAGTAACTGGTGGCCAGTCACTCAAGTGAACAGATAACTGCTGCCAAAAAGTCCTCTTTATAGCATGCCACTCTAGCTGAGGCCTTGCTGCTCGGATGGTCCTGCTGCCCTGGGAGCACAGGCCGTTGCTAAGTGACTTCTGACACTCACCCTGCTTCATCTACATATCTTGGTGTACCTCCACTGTTCGCACCAGGTGGTGATGGGAAAAGTAATAGGCTTAGGGATGGAGGACTTGGAGTTGGGTTCAGATTTAGTTGCTGCTTTTCTCTGAGACTTTTGGTAGGACTTTCTTTGTAGGAGCCTTTGCCTCTTTAGGCTTAGTTTCCTCATCTCTGCAGCCAGAGATAAAACCACACACCTTGCTAGTCCTGAGACACTATGAACGAAATATTTGTAAACAGTCTGAGAACTGAAAAGCATGACAGATTAAAGAATTGACCCGAGGGGCTGGGGACATGGGCAGTGGTAGAGTGTTTGCCCAGCTTACACAAAGTCCTAGGTTTTATTTCTAGAACTGGGGGGCAGGATTGTGCAGAGGAAATGAGAGCAGACCAGAGAGAGGAGAGGAGAGAAGGGGGAGGGAAAGGAGGGAAGAGGAAAAATTGGCCTCACCCAAAGTTCCTCCACCAGGCTTCATTTCCTTCTTGTTTTCTAGGTACTTAACTTGCTCCATCCCCAAGCAGTTATCTCGGGACAAGCACAGACAACCCCCCATCCCATTTTCCATCCTTGAGTACCACAGTCCAATCCACATCCCTCTCTTCCTATTTAGGAAGGTAGAGGGAATTAATATGCACAATATTCCCAACACTGTTACTACATGAACTTTTCTTAAATCTTTTTGCTCTTTTCCTTTCTTGTTTTTCTGTTTTGTTTTTGTTTTTGTTTTGAGACAGGATCTCATGTAGTACAGACTGACTTTGAACTCTTTGTAAAACTAAATAGCTCAGTCAGTAAAGTGCCTGAGAACTCATGTTAAAGGCCAGGTATGGTGGTATGCCCTTGTAATCCCAGTGCTGAAGAAATGGAGGCAAGGAATTCCTGGGCCTAGCCCACTTGGCGAGTTCCAGGCCAGTGAGAGAATGTTTGAAAAACAAAACAAAACAAAAAACGGCCAGTAAGATGGCTCAGAGGTAAGGGTGCTTGCCATGAAAGCCTGGCAGCATGAGTTCAATCTCTAGAACTCACATAAAGGTGGAAAGAGAACTAACCCCATAAATTGTCCTCCAATCTCCAACTTGTGTGCTGTAACATGTACACAAACACACACACACACACACATCATTCACACACAATAAGTAAACAAATATTTTTTAAAATCCCAAGTGGACAGAATGACACACATGCACCTCCCCACATGTGCATGTGCACACATGTGCACCCTACCCTTTCACATACATCCACACAGCTGTGTACACACACATCTCACACACAGAGTGAAAATATTGTTCGTGAATAACATCTTGATTAAAGAGCATGAGAAATGTACATGGTAACTGGTATAGATGACACAGACTGGTAACCCTTGCCCCAAATGTGGCCTCCATAGTGCTTTGCCCAATCAAGACAGCGAGGTGTTTTAACAGGCTTGTTTTTCAGACATAATTTATAAACAACAAGATGCACCCATTTCACATGCATATAGCTCTCTGAGTGCCGATCACCACTACAACCAAAATGCAGAATGTATTCATGTATAGTATACAGTGCCTATGGCCTCAACCACTTAGGAAACTGAAGCAGAAGGATGGCTTGAGCCCAGGACAAGCCTGGGCAACACTGTGAAACTATCTCAAAAACACAGCATAATGAAAGAAAACACAGTGTTCTGTCACTCCAGAAAGCTCCTTGAGAACGCTTCCAGCACCAATAAACACTGGCTCATCTAAATTACTAGCTCCATAGATTAGGTTTGTCTGTTTGGGCAGCAGGAGGGAGTTGCTTTTGTTTTGTTTTGTTTTGTGTTTTGTTCACAGAGGACAGCTAGCATGATGGCTCAGCAGATAAAGGTAGTTGCACCAAGCCTGAACACCTGAGTTCAAT